GTTTGGTTGCTTAACGACATATCAACATAGTAATGGGTCATTTAATGTCGACATGTTATTTTATTGTGAGCTTTCGTAACTTTTTTTTTCAAAACTATATTGATGGTAATTTTTATTTTATTTTTTACTATGATTGTGTTTATTAACAGTTTATTAGTAGTTTGCTGATTTGCTAATTATTTACTGAATTTGCTTATCGATTTAGATCTGTCACCGCTTTGTGTCGACCTCAGTACCAGCTTTTACACACACACACACACACACACACATATATATATGATAAAAAGAACACAATCTTCAAGTCTGAAACAGACTGTCACCGCTATGTGTTGGCTTCAGTGTCTATATATATATATATATATATATATATATATAATTAAACGTTCACTGATTGAATTCACTTGTATGTATAGTAATAAATAAAATACAAATTTTATTTATTGAATTCACTCGTCAAGTGACTTGCAAATCCTAGAGTGGATGTAATCTCCGCAGAATTCTGAACATAGACAAGATTTTATTTATTACTGTTAATGCTCTTTCAATTGACATTAAGTAACGTTATTGCCAAGACTGTATTGTAAAGCTTATCGATTCCTATTTTGGCTTTCTTGATGGGTGATTGATAAACCATAAAAACGAATCAATCCTTTGCTGATTGTATGAAGCCAGAAATCTTTTTTAGATTGTAAGAATATTTTTGTGGTGTTGGTGGTTGTTGTTGGGGGGGATAACAGTGATTTAGTGAAATCAGACTTACTAATTAATCCATAGCTGGTGGAATGGAAGGAGTGAATTTATACCTTTCTCAAGAGTATTTGCGCATCAGTGAATATAACGAAACCAACTGGAATTGGAACTCGGCTCACTGATTAACAATTCAGAGCCATTATCCCGTCCGCACATCCACGCTTACAGCACCTGGTATTCGCAAGCGATCACCCATCTAGGTACTGACCAGGCTCGGCGTTGCTTAACTCTATCTTTACGCTTTAGGTATTGAGCACTATTGTTTTTCTTTTCAGAAGACAGGTTCTTTTCTGACTTTGAAAAAGTAGGCTTATTCTCTCTCTGTATATATATATATATATATATATATATATATATATATATGCAGAAACAATGTTACGATTGGGCGGATTCTTTTTTGTTTAGATAACCTTCATCAGTGAGAAGTTTAGGTAACATCTGCACAACCGAAACCTGCTGTGTCTTAACGTGAGGGCGTCGGGAGATTATGCGAAATTGGATAAACTACGCGTAACACGTACAACGTACAATAACGATTGTTGGAAGACAAACAGGAAAAAGAAAATGTCACAATCCGAAAAATGAACACCAAGACGAGACTGTGGTAAAAAAACCAAAAAAAAAAACCCAAAAAAAACCAAAAAAAACCCCAAAAAACCCCAAACCCCCCAAAAAAAACCAAAAAAAACCCCAAAAAACAAAGCAAAATAAAGCAAAAAACACACAAACAGTAACATCATTAACATGGCTCTGCTTCTCGAACAACGATTCCGGAGGTGGCTTCAAGTTTTCTACATGATAGCTATTGGCCTGCACCACGCAAACCAGCGATTGAACAAAATGGTTGTGTTGGTTTCGGTTCTTTTTTGGGGTCGTGCAAAAAAATATCTCCATTCTAATCCATTGGAAGAAACAAGTAAAGCCTAAACTGATATGAGTTACCTTCAATCATGGAGAGCTGAACGAGAAAACGATTTCGAGAGAATACGAGTACGAGAAAACACAAGAACGTGAACACGAGAATGAGAAAACGAAACGAGAGAACACAAGGACCAGAAAACAAAACGAAAAAGAGAGAACACAAGAACAAGAATGAGAAAACGAGAACGAAAAATTAAAACGAGAGAATACGAGAATGAGAACGAGAGAATACACGAGAACGAGAAAATACGAGAGCGAGAAAACGAGTCCGAGAGAACGAGAACACGAGAATAAAAAAATTTAGAACGAGAGAATACGAGAGCGAGAAAACGAGAATGAGAAACCGAGAATGAGAAACCGAGAATGAGAAACCGAGAACGAGAGAACACAAGAACGAGAGCAATTATAATGGCTGGCTGCCCGTATCCGAATATGTTTGTCCATTATCCAATCCCTGTTGCAGACGACTGATCAGACACATATTCGTTTGTTCAACACCCACTTTAAACAAGGCAAGTCCGCTCAAACTCTCGGTCACGATGTCATAGGACTTGATGCTGGCACAACCATCAACGGCTCCCAAATATTTTCATCTACCCAATTTTCCTGACAAACCATAGGTTAATCTGTGTGTTGCGTTCTGTGTCGTATCTGAGTCCCCATTCTATTACATAAAACGGTATCAACGAAAAGGATCATTTCTTTTTCTCATTCGTTTTATTAGGAGAGAGTAGTGGCAGCTTCGATTCTAAGAAGCATTGGGATGAATGACGTCGCAGGAGTGCATGTCACACATTGGCCCAGCGTCCCACCGCAGATGGTCTAAGTCGGTCTCTGCTTGGGTGTGGGAGGCCTATCGACGTTTCAGAATTATTGCGGCCCTGTTGAATTCACACCAATTATATCCAAAACCCAGACAAAGGCAATCCATGACAATCAGCATACCACGCCACGGGGCACTCCGGTCAATTGCTGACCATTCTGGCCTTGGCCTTCGCATTCTGTAACACGTGGTATGGTTTTCAGACACTTTTTAAAGGTGCCGTACGCTGGGATCGCCGATAACTTCAAGATCTCCCCTTTCTGACAAATTGACCATGGTGTGCCTTAAACAAGAGTCTCATGATCGGAAAGTGAACGACTGATAGATTATGACGGTAAGAACCACAATAAAGTCTCCATTTTGATTTATTTTTTTACCCGGCCCAAAGAGTGATCTTAGGAACAGCAGCTAACTTGACTTGCTTAACGCTTGTCTAGCATTTATCAAATAAACCACGTGTCCTGTTGTTCGGCCGCGGATACTTAACGTCTTACCTCTGTCTTTCCTTTAAAGTCAGCAGACATTTTAACTTTAAGCTACATGTTGCGTAATTAGATCGGAGAACATAGACCTAATATTTTTCTTTCGTACTTAAATTTCCAGAAAGTTGCCAGCTACAACAGAGACGTGAAGAAGGCCGGGGAATATAGCGGCAGACAAAATCATAAAGATAACAAAAACAAGGAAACTAGTCTGCGTAAATCAATGCATAAATAATGGACATTCTACTGAATTAACAATTATCCCTTTGGATTTTACAAGCAAACGGAAGAACTCACAATATTATGCTTCTGATATATATATAACTAAATTACCCATTCTGATTTTACAAGTAAACGAAAGAATTCAAAATATTATCGTTGTGATATATCAGACTAAATTATCCCTTCTGATTTTATAAGTAAACGAAAGAACTCACAATATTATGTTTGTGATAAATAGTTTCAGCGCAATTAGACAATGATATTCACACGCACAAAGGAAGCTAATGTAATCTATTCATCGAAAATTCTTTTGATTACGGATTCGATTTTGTGTTTTCGTTCTTATGCCTCCGCAACCAGCGAATTATATGCATAAGTAAAAGCTGAACGCATTCAATGGATCTGTGGATGTTACATCAGCAGAGGCATTTTCAGTAATGTAGACTCTGTTCTAAAACCTCTCATCATCATCGCTCTTTCACGAGTGAAAACTCAATGATAAACTTTATAACATCTCGTTCAATATATATATATATATATATATATATATATATATATGTGTGTGTGTATGTGTATGTATATATATATGGTATTTTGTTTTCAAAAAATGTATTGCTGGTTATTTTTTTTATTTTCCTATGAAAATGTATTGCTGGTAGTTTTTTTCTAATGTTTTTTTATATTTTCATGTTTTGACCAAGGTTTGGAGGTTCATCATTTGCCCATAGCTGGGACCCTAAATGGTGTTACCACCCCGGGTCAGCGTCAACTTGCGACCAACAGCCAGTAAGAGATGATTCCATGCTCCTCAAAACCTCACTCCCGAGAGGTTTTGCTGCCGGTTCTATTTTACCATCATATATATATATATATATATATATATATATAAGTCGACTCTCCCGTCGAATTCGACGTATGAGGGTCAAGCAGATCAGTTCCCAGGGAACCGACAGTCCGATAACTGCACATGAGATTTGATTATAGTGGTGAATCTTTTCGTGCAGGACATCCACACTTTTTGAAGGGCCGAATACAGAGACCTGGTTCACTCTCTCTTTTATATATATATATATATATATATATATATATATATATATATATATATAATATATAAAATCTCAGAACTCAAAATGGAGCAAAAAAAAAGAAGGAAAAGTTAAAAAAAAAAAAAGACGGAAAAGACAAATAATTACAGCATTATTCACTTGGGCGCATTTGCCCAGGCATACACAATGAAAAGATAAATGGGGAACTATAAGCAGTCAATTGCTGATACCCCCTGACGAGTGGACGGAGTGATTACCGGAAGGTCTTTGTATGAAACTCTGGAGTGGGGATGTTGAAAGTAACATCAATCAGCTAAGTGACAAACCTTTTACATGTATTAATTATATATATATATATATATATATAGGGTGGGTGGAAAGAAACTCCCTATTGAAAACTTCTCATCACTTTTGTTAATATAACCATATTTGCGTGTAACAAAATATATTATAATCCGTAAAGCAGTAAAATTTCATTGCTAATTTCTGTTTTCATTTCAGAGTGAAAAGTGCAGACCAGAATGGCAAAACAACTGACACTTCAGGAGCAACGTGACATTACATGCTACAAGTGCAGAGATGCTAGCGCAGTGTTGATAGACATTGTGCTTCAGTAAATGCCCAAACCACCAGAAATTTTCATTCTAAGTTGGGTGAGTACAGCATCTGTGGTGGATATCCACGGAAGCAGTCGTCTTTTAACATCCAGGTTGGAAAAAAATGTGCGAAGAGTACTGGAAATGTTCAAGGATATACCTAGACGATTATAAACACTGGTTGGCATCTGGACCTTGAACGACAAATCTGAGTAAAGGCAGAAAGCATCTGGACCTTGAACGACAAATCTGAGTAAAGGCAGAAAGCATCTGGACCTTGAACGACAAATCTGAGTAAAGGCAGAAAGCATCTGGACCTTGAACGACAAATCTGAGTAAAGGCAGAAAGCATCTGGACCTTGAACGACAAATCTGAGTAAAAGGCAGAAAGCATCTGGACCTTGAACGACAAATCTGAGTAAAGGTAAAGGACCTTGAACGACAAATCTGAGTAAAGGCAGAAAGCATCTGGACCTTGAACGACAAATCTGAGTAAAGGCAGAAAGCATCTGGACCTTGAACGACAAATCTGAGTAAAGGCAGAAAGCATCTGGACCTTGAACGACAAATCTGAGTAAAGGCAGAAAAGCATCTGGACCTTGAACGACAAATCTGAGTAAAGGCAGAAAGCATCTGGACCTTGAACGACAAATCTGAGTAAAGGCAGAAAGCATCTGGACCTTGAACGACAAATCTGAGTAAAGGCAGAAAGCATCTGGACCTTGAACGACAAATCTGAGGAAAGGCAGAAAGCATCTGGACCTTGATCGACAATTTTGAATAAAGGGAGAAAGCATCTGGACCTTGAACGACAAATCTGAACAAAAGGGCCATATTCAAAGATGAAGTAGAAACATTTAGTATTATAGAATCTGTTTGGAGAATAAAGAGCCACTCCAGGATGAGGGCCAAACAAAAAAAAAATAAGAAACTCCACCAGAGAGTAAGAAAATTAAAGGAAGCGGCAGATATAAAAGAGTATAAATTAGGGAGCATTACTTTGGATCAACTGGGTAAGAATTATGGAGCATTACAGTGTATAAATTAGAATTAACTGTCTTTTACAAGTTGCTAAAAATAGAATGATTCGTATTCCTGGGGATATAACCACCCAGTTGGTATATCATCAACTATTTTATGTTTTCCATCTATGCCTAAAATGTCTTCGTTGGTTTTCAGAACACGTTGTACACCTAAAAGGAAGAAGATCACAAGACGACGAGGAAATCCAAGAAAATGCAACGAGGCAGCTATCCTGAAAAAATGAATTTCAGGAATGCTTCCATCAGTAGAAACAACGCTAGATAAAGTGTGTGGCTTCAAGAGGAACTACTTCAAAGACGATTAAATGCCAAATTAATTTTTGATCAAGCCATGTACGTATCTGTCTATATTTCTGAGATGAGGTATGATGTACATTATTTACATTATTCAGACTATTGTCCTCATCTTTGTTGCCATATTTATTACAACTTTTCGGCCATTCAGTATCTGTCTTTATTTCTGAGATGAGGTATTATTTACATTATTTACATTATTCGGACTATTGTCCTTATCTTTGTTGCCATATTTATTGCAACGTTACGGCTGTTGAATGCTACGGCTTTTTCAGGTGGCTAGAATGTCGAACCGAACCCTTTATTTCGCTCACTGGGGTAGACTATTCTAGTTCCACGTGCCATGTTTAATGAATGTCAGTTATCAGTTATCTCCTGCTAATTTTCCCTCTGAAAGTTCTCCACTGCCTTAACCGGGTATTGAACTCACACTCTTTGGGTCCTGTCACTGGATCTAACCAACGCCTTTATCCACTATAAATGATAAACCATGTGTCCTTGAGGTCCAGTGAACAAAATAAAGGGTTAAATTCGACATTCCAACCACCTGAAAAAGGCCGGAGTGTACAACGGCCGAAACGTTGTAATAAATATGGCGACATAGATGAGGACAATACTCCGAATAATGTGAATAATGTACCTCGTACGTATATTGACGCGTAGTACGTTATATTATGATTGATTTAAAGTTTTTAAAAAGGAGAAGAGTTTTCAGTTGAGTTGTATTTTTTTTTCTTCTTTTTTTCTTTTGGTTTGAAATAGTACGCTTACCACTAAGCTACACCCTCAAATGAAGAGGTTGGGTATCACCTGTGAATGCATTCCGCATCAATGTGACAGTGATGAATTGTTGAATGTGAAAAACACTGCAATTCGGGGGTGGGGGCTTTAATGTCCCTTTTCCCAGCACTGTCGGGTATTCAGCAAACACTCAGGTAGCTGACGTGACTAAATGTTATTCGTTTTCGATAAATGTTGCTTTTGATTTGGAAATTGCGTGCACCGTCCAATCTCTGTCCACAAGACGAAGAAACGTGGACTGTTTAAGGGCGTTGCTAATGTGCAGAAGTGGGGCGAGAAAAGCTGGGAGAAAGTGATAAAGGGAGATCAAAAGCGTGCAGGATATCAGTGGAATGATATTCTAGATTGTCATGAAGTAAAAATTAGGGTCTCGTCACGAATAAATTTTTATTTTCCTCATAGGTGGTCGCTACGATAATTCTAAGCGACAAGCCGAGTTAAAAAACAAAACAACAAAAAACTAAGCCTTTATTGCTTTCATATCGTACTGATACTTCAAGGAAAGGCCTGAATCTATCCCTTCATCCAGCTATAGGTTAATTAGCAGGCTTGACGCGATTTTCTACCCAGTCCAAGAGAAAAAAAAAGTTTCTTCTGAATTGAAAACTCTCGGTTCGTTAACAGGAAAACGCACAACGATCGTCTCCTACGAGGTCATGGCAATTCATACATAATAAAGAGGGAAGCTGTGGAGAGCTATGATAACGTGCCGTACAGAAATGGCATGTATTTCTTAGAAAAACAAACCCAGCTCTCATTTGGTAATACAGGTTGTGTATCTTTTATCCGACCCAACCCCAGAACCCAAATCCGAAAGTGTTTCAGGTAGTGACATGACTAGCCACAAATGGAATATTTCAGAAGGTACTGGGAAGATTCCGAAGTGATGTGCAGCTTTTGTAAGTAATCTCATCTGCCCTGGGTGGGGGCTCCCCAGCCCAGCTACACAGCCTACTTTGGCACCAATGTCTGTCACATCAACAACATCGTTCGTGGATTATTTATCAGGTGTTTCGTGCTCAGTAAAGATATTAAAAATGTCAAAAAAGCCCTACACATACGCATATGGGTAGTGAAAAAAAAAAGAAAACATTTATGTTTATCAATATCACAGACTGTTGGAAAAATTAGACATGGGTGTAAGGGTGAGGCGTCTAACTGAGAAGTTTGGCGTTGGAATAACTACCATATATGGCCTAAGGAAACAGGAATTGTTAAAGTTTTATGCCTAAAGATATAAACTGAAATGAATGAAAAATAAACAAACATTGTACAGAGCAAAAAATGATGATCTCAATCATTTTATAGATGCTATACACAAATTAAATAGCCTGTATTCCAAAATCCGGAAAAATCTCAAAACCGAAGCACTTTCGGTCCCACGAATTTCGGATTATCTGTCTGTATATCTTTTAAGTGGAAATGAAAGTGAAATTTCTTAATCAAATGACTTGAATATTGTTGTGGCCTGGTAGGGTCCAGAAAGAAAGACACAAAAAAAAGAAAGTAGATTGAACAAATGTATAACAGAACATATATACAAAATAGTAGTCTTATCAGTGAGCACATAGAGTTGTCCGTCCGAACTATCAGGTTACACTGCGTCCCAACTGCCTCTGCTTCGGAAGTCTCGCAGGCTAGTAAGGTTCATAAGAAGGAGGAAGAGTTCATTCTAATGGAGATAGGGCACCATAACAAAGATACAGTCAAAATAAATTTAAAAAAATACTCTTTGTACCCATCTTTTTATATAACTGTCAATCTTTATTTTCCCTATCTACATTCGGACTATTGTCCTCATCTTTGTTGTTGTTATCACAACATTTCGGCCGGTCTTCATCAGGTGTATATCAATCCGGGTAACCAACAGGGAAATCCGAACTGAACCCTTTATCTATTGTTCCACTGCCAATGTCTAGGGATATATCTCCTACTTCTTATTGTATGTATTGCTCAGTTAATGGCTCGCCCTGTTTCCACTAAGTCCATGTACACACTGCTCAGCTCAGGGATTGAACTCACAATTACAATATCAACGAAGTCATGAATCAAAGCTTTAATCCAAAAGGCTATTGGTTACATGACGAATAAGTTATCCTTGCCTTGGCCTGTGTCACTTATCCAATTGTAATGTTTGCAGGATTCGTCTAACATTGACATTCGGACTCCACAACAGTGTAAACAAGCAAGAGAAATAAGACAAAAGAAGGATTAGTTAAAAATTAATTATAAAAGTCAGAAAAGTAATGGGATTGTGTGAGCGATGGGCGAAAGTGGGAAATATAAAAACTATTTACAATATTTACATTGTTCGGACTATTGTCTTAATTTTTATTGTCATATTCACGACGTTTCGGCCGTTCTACACACCGGTCTTTTTAAGGTGATATACATTGGAATTCATGAATCAAAGAACATTTCTGTTGCTTTAAGTCTTTTTCTTCCTTTTTGAGGAGATTGTTCAGCATTTTTCTGTCTCTTAATACTCTGCTTAGCTTTTGAAATGCATCTTTGGCCAACAAAATACGTCTTCAGATTTCAGTGTCACACTTTGCGTCCTGTTAGAACACTCCCCAAATATTTAAATTTTTGAATGTATTTCTTTCTGAAGAGGTTAACATTCACGCAAAAAATGCAGGAATCGTAATATACATAAGTTCGGCTTGTATAAGATAAATATTGTTATGTTTTTAAACGAATTTATCATAGTCTCTGTTTGACATTTGTGTGTTTATAATTAGCGTTTCCATTTGTGGAGCATAAATATTGGTGGTCACAATCTTACCAACATAAGATAAGCAGATGATACAGTGAAAGGGAACTGCAGGAACTCCTACAGAAAGTAGTAAAGGAAAGCGGGAAGAAAGGACTATGCATCAATTGAAAGAATGCAGAATGTATGATCGCAAAAGGATCAGCCGAAGTTGAAAAGAATCGAAGACAGAAATATTAAGCAAGTACCAAAGTATAAATATCTAGGAAGTGTTTTAACAGAGGACGGAAAAAGTGACACCGGAATCCGAAGATGCATTGGAATAGCGAAAGATGCCTTCTAAAAGTTAAGCAAAGTATTAAGAAATAGGAAAATGTGAGAAACAAAGAAAAAATGTGCTGGATTGTTATATAGGTCCTCCTCTATAGCAGTAAATGTTGGACTAGAGCAAGTGGATTTTGAAACTGTGGTATTGCACTCAATGTGAAAGTTTCAGTTTGACATGATGAATAAAGACCTAAGATATTTTTTACCAACGCGCTACCGTTTTTTGAGGAAATGAGTTTAAAGATTAAGTTTATATTAAAATCATAGTGTTGAAATTCCATTTCGGTGATCAGTGAAAGCCTTATAAAATGTATAATTGACTGAAGCTTTACAAATTGTATATGGACAAGATGCGTGACACAAGCACATTATTACAAAATCATTGTGACATCAAATAAAACCTTCATTTACTTCAAAGGAAAATTATAGTGAACAATTTAGCAAGATTATGATGTAATATGTTAGATGCAGTAATTTTCTTGTGATTTTCAATAAAGGTAAATTTAAAACATTTTTTTCTCATAATATGTACTTCGCAGTTTTATGGTGTGATAATTTATAATCTGAAAAGAAAAAAATTATTAGATCGCATGAGAAATTGAATAAAAACTCAGTAAAA